TCCTGATTTTGCAGATCTGAATATTAGAGACCCAATTAATTTAAACTGAGGAAGACTGACTCAAGTGGGATTTGAATCAAGGGATTTAAGCTCTCCAACTTTAATTTTTTTTTTTTTTTTAACTTGAAACTATGGTTTACTTGTCCCAGTTTGACACATATTTTTGGAAGCAGTATGGTTTAGTGGAAACRTCCCAGGACCAAGAATGAAAACAAGAAAATGTATTCTGGTCTTGATTTTGTTGGTAATTAGCTTTACAGAAACAAGTCTATTATTTACTTTTCTCTGCACCTTGGTCTCTTCAAATGATAACAGATAGCTGTTCTACTTCTCAGGGTGACAGGGAGTGAGGATTGAATAATCATTTTAAAGACCTTTATTATGGCTGGGTGTGGTGGTGCATACCTGTAATCTCAGCAACTTGGGTCACTGTCTCAAATTTTTAAAAAGGGCTAGGAATGTAGCTCAGTGGTAAAGCACCCCTGCGTTCAATTCCAAGTACAAAATCAAAAAAAAAAAAAAAGAAGAAGAAGACTTTTACCATGATGAAGAATTGGTGATAGGAAAAGAGATCAACTTCTGTTTCTGTGCTCGTAGAGTAAGCAGAGATAAGTCTTACTTGTCCTTACCTCTGTTCCCCAGGCACCTCTCCCATTTTCCCAACACGGGACAGCTGCGAATGCTGACTTGCTATTTCTGGTCCTTTCTAGCCTAGGACTTTGATCCATGCATTTCCGACGTGCGTCTGATACTGTTCCCTCTCTCACTGGAGACTCAAAATCAACACACATGCGTACATGTCTATTAATATATAAAAGCATGTACCAGGATGATAAAAACCAGATTTAAGATATTGACTACTTCAGGGGGAGGGAGAAGGAGGACAACAGGATCAGGGTAGGATAAGGGTGCACAGAATGCTATAACTGTTAGATATAATATTTCATTTCTTAGGGAAAAAAAGTATCTGAAACAAAAATGTTCAAATGTTAAGATTTGATGGAACTGCATATTAGTTAGTTGCACTGGGGTTCATTATAACATGCTACCATCTTTTTAATATATTTGAAGTATTTCCTAATTTTTTCCTTAATTTCATACTTCAAAAAAGAATATCAGCAATCTAAGAGGTTCACCAGCCAGTTGCCTGTCTCTTCTTCATCTCGGAGTCAAAACTGAAGAACAATCCCTTACCCCAGGGGTCCTTGAGTCCTCCCTCTAACCACTTCTGTAGGCCAAGACACAAAACAACTGGCTGCAAGTGAATCTAAAAGCCCCAAGATGTCTTACTCCTTCCTCTCAATTCCAGACATTCATTCTGTGTCATCTATCTTTTAAACCTTGACCGGCACARGGCCAGACACCTACCAGGTGGGCTTAGACTAGACAGTCTGCCAAATTGGACAAGCAGACTATGTAGATGTGATGGTTCACAGTGGTACACACAGCCTAGGGTTGCCATAATCCAGGGTCTGCCTCACTGTAGCCGGTTTCTCTACCTTGCTATGACTTGGTGACCCACCCTGAGTGCTTGGACCATTCTCCTCCCAGATGAGCCACAGAGCTACCTTTAGTTTGAAAGCCTTTCGTTTTATCCTAGGTGAGAGTAAATTGAGATGATCATGCAGCCAGGTATTTCTCAGGAACACGCACCCTTTCTCCTCAGCCGTAGTCACATGGTTGTGTATCAAGTCTAATACTTCCTGCCATGCTGCACCAAACAAGCAGTAATGTCCTTTCCCATTTCTGTCTGCTCTCTTATAGCCTCTACCACATCACACTCTGGACCTTCCTCCTCGCCCTGGGGCACTTCCTCTCTGAGTTGTTTGTATTTGGAACTGCTGCACCCACAATTGGTGTCCTGGCCCCACTGATGGTGGCAAGTAAGCACCCCACCCCACCCCAGGCCTCCCTCAGCAACTGTCCCAGCACCTGGGCTGGTGCAGGGGACAGGTGCATGGTAAGAAGGCCCTGTGTTTACATCCCCACTCACCTTCTCTGTGTTCAAGGTTTCTCCATCCTGGGTATGCTAGTCGGGCTCCAGTACCTAGAAGCAGAGCCAGCATCCAGACAGAAGAAGAGGAACTGAGGCCACATCGCCACCTCCCACCTCTCTGTCTCCCCTTCATTCTCTGCTCTTTAATTTCTTCTTTGGGGCTCCATCCTCAGCCCCTTTACTCACTTTTGGCCTTTTAAGTTGTTGAGGTTTTGCTTTTTTTTTTTTTTTTTTTGGCATTTAAAAACATTTAAGACATAACATGCACACAGGGAAGTGTACGACATGTATGTACAATTTAAAGAATAATTTAAAGTCAACATTCAAATAAGCCGCCCAAGTCAAGAAATCACCTGTCCCTCAAAAGCCCCCACCGTGTGTCCTCCCCACCTGCAGCCTCCCGTAGGCTCCTTCCTCCAGCCTTCTGCTTTTGTTCTGCTTTTTTTTTTTTTTTTTTGCCCTTTTTATTTCCATTCCTCGGTTTGGCGCGTGGTGGGGATGTGAGAACTGTGAAACCTGAAGCTGCTGCCCACCCCGCGCAGCTGTGACCAAGGGCTGCTTCAAGGGGCTGTCCACACACTGGGCTCCTCTCTGCTGCTAGACTCTCAACTCTGAACCCGCCAAGGACAGGCAGTTCTTCTTCTGTGTGAGCAGGACTCTGGCTCTTCTTTTACTACAGGTGGGTGAGGGTTGGAAGAGTCTGGGCTGTTTTTAGACCTTCTGGTCAGCTGTATTTGTGTAATGAATTTTGTAATAAATAGTAAAACCCTCTGCTTTGATCAGTTCTTGTACYTTGGCCGAAAGCACCACAGCTTTCTGCCTGATCAAGTCCACCACAGCTTGTGTCCCAAGTTATACTGGGGGCCTCCAGCTCCTTATTGTCACTTGCTCAGATCTCTTGTATTTCTGAGGTCAGGTCTTCCTCTTCTTGGATCTTCCAGATTCTCTGTTCACAGGGCTGAGATTGTGCTCAGTGGCAGAGCCCTTGCCTAGCATGCATGAGGCCCTGGGTTCTATCCCCAACACTGCCAAAAAAATTAAAATATGATTCTAAGTTCATATTTCAACCTCAGGACCCTTTCTTCCCTTTCTGATCTTCCTAAAGAAGAAAACAGATGACTGAAAACACAGAAACAAAGTAGGATTAGGCACCACAGAAGAAATAGCTGGATGACCATGAAAAGGAACCAGCTAGATCCTAAGGGTGATGTACCAGAGTAGACAGTGGCCCTCCACACCACCTGGTGAGCCTCCACTTGCTGGCCCCCCCACACACTGTGTATGCCAGAAAGGCCACTCGATATTTCAACAAATATTGATTGAGTACTTTTCCATGCCAGACACTCAGGAAACAGAAATGAGCAAGATGTCAATGCCTCTGCTCCCGTGAGCCTCATGTTATAGCCAAGCCAGGCCAGGAAGGCAGAACTACCGATAGAAGAATGCTAGAGAAAACAAGATGTTTTCATCAAGAAAGGGTGGAGGTGGTGGACGTGGGAGGATCTCCATCACCAGAAAGGTCCTCCCGAGGTGGGGGTTTCATCTCAAGAGTTGAATGCTCAGGAATCAGATGTCTTCAGATACAAAGCAAGCAGTTAGGGTAGAGGGGGCAGGTAGGCAGGGACAGTCTTGTTCAAGGAGTAAGATCAGTGTCATGACAGCAGGATAGATCAGAAAGGGAGGCTTGTAGGAGTAAGAAGGATGTTCGATGTTTCTATCTAAATACTTTGGGAATTCTCTGTCGGCTCTTTTAAGTGGAAGGAACAAAACCTACCTTCAACCAGCTTAAACATAAAGTTAACCTGACTGACTGGGATTATAAGCTTCAGGACTAGCTTGATCAGGACTCTAGCTCCACTTCTCTGTTTTCCTCAGTTCTGCCCAGCTGCGCTTCCTTCCTCCCCAGGCTGGCTTCCTTTATGGTGCCAAAAGGGGGCGCAGTAATTCCAGGCGTCACATCTCCAGGACACCACATGTAGAAAAAAGAGCTGTGTGGTAAGAACTCTTCCTTATCCACTATTGTACGGAGACAGCAAGAGAAGCAGCAGTCCTAGAGTTAGCATTCCAGTGTAGACCTGCCTGGAGACCAACTAAGAACGAATGAATGATTTGGGTCCTCTAACTGTGGTAGAAATGTGATTCATGTAAAGGTAAGATACTAAAGAGATGGTGCAGGTAGAGTGTTTAGAAGGCACTATGAATAGGAGACTTCTTAACAACGCCAACTTGAGTTCCTTCCCAGATCACTTAAAGTAGAATCGTAATGCTGTCTCTCTAGCCAAGAATTGCTAATAATGGGGTGCCACAGTGCCGGAAGTACAGCGCAAATCTCTAGGGAACAAAATGTACAGAAAACTGAGAGCAGCAGCCATCTCCAAGTAACAGTTGTAAGGGAAAGGAACACAACTGGGCGAGGAGTGGCAGTAAGCAGCCCAGCTCAAAAGAAAAAAGAGAAGAGCAGAAGGACAGATGCTAGGCCCCAGCTGTGGACTCCGGCCAGGGCAAGCTGGTGTGTGGCTGGGGTGACTGAGAACAAACACTTCAGCCATCCTTTGAGGCAGAGCCAGGAACAACAGTGAGCTGTCTCACCAACAGTCACATTCCAGCGTATACACAGGAGGAAAAGAGGTCAGGGTCATGCTGGCCGTTGAGTTGCAGTGTCCCATGTAGGCTGACAGGGACCTTCATAGTCTTTTAAAAAGCCACCAGGATAATAGCACCCATGTCAAGAGAGGTCACAGATACTCCTCCTCCAGCCTCCTCCCTGACCCCTGCACCTTCCCCACCTCAGGCTCTGATGTGTGGCAACCTCATGGAGACTCCCCAAAGCCTTCTCTGCCCCAACAAATGACCAGACAGATCATGTGAGAATCCTTTATTGCTTTAAAACATCTGAAATTACAAACAGGAAATACAAATGTGGTTTTGTTTTTTTTTCAAAAATACAGCAATGGATTCAGTAAACACGTTAATACATTTTGAGGGGTTAAAGAATACACACATTCCTCCTGTCAAAAGGCACATCTCCCTTTCATCCCAACCCTCCCTCTGTCAAAAGTGTTAACTTTTTATTACATAGGCAGTGTGTTTCTCCTAAAGCTTGAATCTGTGTACGCACACACACACACACACACACACAAACACACACATCTGGCTCCCCTCTGGCAGTAGCCCAAGCACCCCAGCACTTCAGCCAGCCCCGGCTGCTCTGACATACAGAGTCCAGGGCAGTGACCACAGCAAAAGAGCACAGTGGCCATGGTTACAGCTGTGAAAGGCACAGGAGAAATTACCAAAACTTCTCTTATTTTCAGAAGACACCACTGAAGTCCATGAGAGAGCCAGACAGCAGGGCAGGCAGGAGAGAGGTCAGCTTGAATTGACTTGAAGGGAATTTAAATTTAGACTGATAAACATTATTACAGGAGGTGGGAGAGGGGTTGGTATGCAAACCTATCCCCATCCGAGGCGGGAAATGGGTCATTCCAGCAGCTYGATGCCAGCTTCGAGAAGCACCTTTCCTTCTTCCCTCTCATCTCTTAGAGTCGGCCTTGGATTTGTTGGAGTGGAAGGATCAAGATTAGTTTTCAGTAAAGGTTAGAATCAGCTGCCATGATTGCCCTCCCCCAGGATAAAACAGGCACTTGGGCTAATGTCTGAGTGTGATATCCAGATGAAGGTAACTGGGTGGCCGGTGACACCCACAAGTCCCTGCATGAGCCCTTCTTTTGGAGGAAAAACCTCTTTCCCATCTCAACTCAAAGTTCTAGAGTTGCCACAGGTGGGTCCCCACAAACCCACTCAGAGGGCAGCCCGAGCACTGTCACACCCAGGGAATCAGCCCTCCCAAATCACTTTCTCTTTTGTGTCCATGACAAAGTGACAAAGTTTCTGTCCAGTTTATTGAGGTTTGGTCTGATAAGGTCTTAGGAAAGAGGGTTTGGAGATAAATCCCAACACTAGGCCAGGAGAACTGAGGCCAAGAGTCCTAACAGAGCTTCCCTGACCAAGGTTGTCCACACGGTGCTGCCCTCTCAGGGAACTTGAGTGGTCCATCTGAGACCCAGGAATGACCCTCAGGCAGAGCAACTTGCCCCTCCTTAGTAAAAACTGGGCTTCATGTGAGGGTCTTAAGACACTAGAAAAAGTTAATATCCTGAATAAGCTTTCTTCTGTGATAATTTTGCAAGCATTCTCCATGAGGGATGAAGGCAATGAGGGAAAGCCAGAGTCCAACACCTTCCATCAGTCCCTCCCACACAGCACCAGCACCCAGGACCTAAAAGGAGGGGGGATGGGAATCCAGTGTGCATTTGGTGAAAGGTACACTTTCCCCCAACTAAAGCATTCGGGCTCTTGAGTGGGCTCAGAAGGCAGAGGTGCCGCCATGTAAGGCGCAAATATTCCAACTGATTCCCTCCACAAGCTTCTCCAGTGAAGACATTTGTGCTGGCAGTGAGAGCTGAGCTGAAGGAAGAGGTGGGGTGTTCGTGATCCCTGAGTGGCTGCCACCTCTCTCTCTCTCTCAGAAATGATCCTCCGACAGGATGGTGGGCGCCTTGCTGGTATTGTTCTCCTCCTCCTGGACTTTCTACAAGGCAAAGCAAGCACGCAGCCCTGTGGGTAAAAGGCACAGGACTCCACCCGGAAGTGACTAATCAGTGAAAGTCCAAGAGCCAGAGGCCACTTGGTATATCCCCTAGAGCCAACAAAGGGAACAAGAAAACAAGCAACCAGCCCCTACTAAAAACGCTGCCCAAACACACCGGGGCCCACAACCACCATGGACCACAGACTCACTCTCGGGACTGGAGCAGAGAAAGTGCACTTTCTCTCCCCATTCTGACAGCCAAAAACACTTTCTCACTCCAAAAATTAGCTGTCCAAAGCACCAGGTCTGCAATTGCCTTAGAACTTCCAACCATCCCTATGTGGAGGCAGCCCCCAGGATGAGGGGCATCATCACAATGTATGTAGAGTAGATGGCACAAAAAGAAAATATTTTAAAAGGCAGCATGCCTAACTGCACAGATAAACTCGATGGCTGTGTATTTATATCTTGTGCCTAAGAAAAAAGACTTCCAAGAAATTTGGTCTTGGTTTTATTGAGGAGAAAGAGCGCAGGGTCATTTATGGGGAGGAGTCTTCTGGGCTGTGCTTGGTACATAGATATGGAATTAAATATGGCCTGGAAATCATCCCGTGGTGTTCAAAATGCCAACTTGGGCGTTTGTCTGGTATTCGAAAAAAAAGTGCTTTGCCTGTTGTCATTAAAGCCTTGGGCACAGACACAGCACTACACACTCAAAGCCCAAAAGAGCACGTGTAGGCCAAGCTGGGCCAGGATCAATTGAGCAAATGGCACTTTCTTCCCCAAGAGTGTCTCAGGGCCAGTCCACAGCAAGGACCACTGCTGTAGGAATCAACCCTTCCCATTCTTACTCTTGCTGGCCTTTTGCACCAGCTCATCCAGGCTTGAGGAGCCTTCATTCAGGGAAAGTCCAACTCAAGTCAGTCCATCAACCACTTCTCTCTCTCTGATACACATGCACATGCACACATACACACACACCTGCAACTTCCACATCCATCACCTTGGAATTACAACCAGAAAAAGTAGAGACAGAAGAATAGCTATTGGCTATGTGATGGAAGAAAAATGGAAGCCCAAACCAAGAAGATAATCACTGGTTCTATCACTTGTTACCTAAACTATATATCTCACTGATGTATATAGAGAGAACAGATGTGGCTAGATCTGACAACACGTATCTACAGGTGTCTGAATTACACAGATCACCATGGGGTGTACAATGACAGTGACAGCCATGGCTTCCTTGCTGGTGTTAGTACCAGCCTGACTCTGATCTCCCCTTCATACTGAGATCCAGATACAGCATCATGTATCCAGCAATACAAGATACGCTGGTGAGATCCAGATACAGCATCATGTATCCAGTAACACAAGATAATTGTGCATCATTACCAGAACTTAGGGCTTCTGTTCCTACCCCATGTTTCTTCTCCTACTCAAGAAGACTGAGCCAAGAACTCCAACCTTGATTAACAAACCTGGGCCACATGTACAAGGATCTGGCTGCAAGAAGAGTACAATATTGGAACAATGAAATAGTAAACAAGATGGAAATATATATAYACACACACACACACACACACACACACACACACTTAGAGATGAAGTTGTGATCAAGTGTAAATATGTGGAGTCTGTCAAGCTATTTACAGCAAACAGAGTAGTAAAGGAAACATACAAGCAGACCCACAGATGATGGCATGGAAACTGACTAAAATGCTCCTAAGGTACCTCTGGGAGGTTGAGTCTTAGGTTATTTCTAATTTCTCCTTGTTTGCCTATATCACAGCCAACATAAACACAGACTTTTTAAAAAAGCAACAAAATTTCATGTCAACACAATATATCACATTCCATAGTGAAAACTGTTCATCAAAGTAGAAGATGATTGTTAAAAAACAATCCAAGTAGCTCCCAAGTAGCTGGGATTACAAGTGTGCCCTACTGTGCCCAACTCTGCCTGCCAACTTTAGAAATGTGACATCAGAAGACAAATAGTAAAGTACTGAAGATTCTCATCTATCTGCCAACACATATGCTAACATGCTAAAAACATCTCTTGCAGAAAACCATTTTGGTGCTAGAAAATTAGCAAAGATATCTCAAAATAGCAAATGCTCAGTATTGGCAATCCTCTACATTGCTATAGCAATATACATTGGTAGTATTGACAGTACCTTTCTAGAGAACAATTTAGCAACACATATAAAATCTTAAATATGTGCATGACCACTGGTCCATCTCCCAAGGAAATACCATACACATAAGAACATGCAGAGCTGGGCACAGTGGCACATGCCTGTAATCCCAGTGGTTCAGGTAGCTGAGGCAAGAGGATCATAGGTTCAAAGCCAGCCTCAGCAATTTAGCAAGACTGTAAGCAACCTAGCGAGACCATGTCTCAAAATAAAAATTCAAAAAGAGCTAGGGATGTGCTGGGCATGGTGGTACACATCTGTAATCCCAGCAGCTCAGGAGGCTGAGGCAGGAGGATCTAGAGTTCAAAGCCAGCCTCAGCAAAAGTGAGGTCCTAAGCAACTCAGTGAGACCCTGTGTCTAAATAAAATACAAAATAGAGCTAGGATGTGGCTCAGTGGTCAAGTACCCCTGAGTTCAATCCCTGGTACCCCTGCCCCATCAAAAAAGGACTGAGGATGTGGCTCAGTGGTTAAGTGCCCCTGGGTTCAATCTCTGGTACCAAAAAACACATGCAGGCTGGTGATGTAGCTCAGTGGTACAGCATTTGCCTGCCATGCATGAGGCTCCAGGTTCAATCCCCAGCACCGCAAAAGGAAAAAATAATAAAAAAGAACATGCACAAAGATTCAGTTTCCAACATGTTAATTAGAATAGTGTTTATAGCAATGATTCAAAAAAATGTTAATGTGCAGACAGGAACACTGCTAAACAATCATGGCTTATCCATACACAGCACACTGTGCAATCATTAAACATATGTTGTAGAAGACTAGTAGCCTGAGAATGTTAACAGTAAGTAGAAAAGAGGATAGATTTTGTTCCTGTTTTAAAAGGGAAAAAAATACATATATTTGTATAAATACACACACACATATGTGGATAGAGACATGAAATAAATACAAACAATAGGAGCATCTCATCTCTCTATGATGGAATTATAGGGTGATTTTAAATTTTTTTCCCTTTTTTTATTCTACCTCTGTAATAGATTGGGTTTGTTGGTTTTTTTAAAAAAGAAATATCCTACTTTTATTCTTCCACGTATTTGAAATTCCTTTCAAACTTGCTCAGATTTGAGACCTAACATTTTGGTTTAAAGTGGCTCCCAGCTGATTAGAACAGGTAGGAAACACTTTTCTGTTCTAGATCATTCTCCTGGTCCTCTCCTTTCCACCACCACCAGCTCCTGCTTCCTGACTTGCCCCTTGCAGAGCCTTAATGGCAACCTACTGGCTCCATCCCCATGGCCCTGCCTAAGGGCTGTCACATGCCAGGAGTGCCACTGCCTTAGGGCACACACTGCCATGCCAGGCTCCACTTTCCCTCCCTCGACACTAACCCCAGGCTGACAGCAGCAGAGCCAGGGACTTGGCTCAGGATCCGAGGGGTGGGCACTGCTCAGGAACTGTGACCACAGTGACATGCTCTGGGAGCCACAGCAGGGGAGTCAGGAGGAGGGTAGGAAGCCCAAGGGCCCAGGAAACAACAGCAGAAAAGCAATGCCAGGACACAAAATGAGGACACCTTTGAGATGCCATGATTGTAGGAGCCAGTCCCTCTGGGAGCTTCCCTGGGCCCCACTATGCAGCCATGTCTGGATCACAAGCTCAGAACCCATCATATCTCTGTCTGAAAAAAGCTCCCACATACTCACAGTCTCAGGAACTTCTCTGTTTGCCTTCTGCCTCCGGAGGTCTGCCCTAATGAATGCTGAAGTGGGAAAAAAAATAAAGAGTGACAAGTCATGGAGATTAATGGCCATTTTTCCACAGAGGGAACCCTCATTTTTGCCAGGATCACAGGTATCCCAAACTACTTCAGATCCTCGAGGGAGCAAGGGGAACTATCAGCTAATGCCAAGAAGCCCCAAGGATCACTGCTGTCCCTGAGAGGTAGAAAGAAGTCCACAATGACACTGGCCTTCACTTAAACGCCACTGATATTTGTCAGGGACACATATTGCTCTAATCACAACAACCCTCCATGTACAGGTTAGGAAACCGAGGCTCCTAGGCGTTGGTCTACTTGCCCAAAGTCAGCAGCAGAAATGTCAGTGTCAGTCTGAGATTTAGACATGGGTCGTCTAGCTCCAAAGTTCATGATCATTCCAGCAAAACATGTCATTGCCTCCCACACAGCTTCCTAACAAGCCCTCCCATCTGTGCCCCTGCATGCATATTCCCCATCTGCATAATCAGTCAAGACACTGGGGTCCCAAATTGCTGATGGCCTGGCCCCCAAAACAGCCTGAACCTCATCTTGCCCTCAGACCCCAACTCACCAGTGAGGGCTGCTCCCAGAGAGAGGAACACACACAGGAAGATGTTCCCAGGCATGGTTCCATAGCTGTCAATGATCTGACCCTGGGAGATGGTGAAGATGATCCCAAATACCTGGAAAAGCATAAGGAAGATGGGAAACGAGGGCCCTGCCAACTAGCCCATGGAGGGACCTGAGCTGCCGGGCTATAATGTCAACACAGGCAGGCAGGGAACAAAGGGGGAACAGGAGCTCAACCTGTGCAGACACGTTGAGGAGGCCCGATGACATGCCCTCCGACTCTGGATACGTGAGCTCCACGGCGAACTCGAACCCCAGCGGGAGGTAGCCGGTCATAAAGAAGCTGGAGAGCAGATCAGAGAAACGGGTGATGGAGAACCCCCAGAACAAGGACGGGGCACCCACATCGACCCTTAGACACCCTCTTCAGCTTTATCCTTCCCATCAAGACAGCCTCAGGCTCTTGGGTGATCTGGCCATCCCCCCGACAGAAAGGGACATCCCTATAGACCGAGAAGTCCCTACACATGCCTTATGCTCAGCAGGCCTGTAGTGTCCCAGGCTGCTTCTCTGTTTAGCCATGGAGGACAGGGTCAGCATTTACAGAAGGGCACAGAGGCCTGGTTTGTTTCACTTTGACTGGGAGACCCTGTCCTGGGCACACACGCTCTGTGTTGGAAGTGGGGCTTCTCCATGGCGTTCTGGGATCTGGGAGGAGGCACTCAGAGTCCTCTTTATGTTCCTCCAGAGAGTAGCAGCTGAGATGGACTGAGGGCGGAGATGTCTCTGTCTCAAATGCATCATACACACACTGTCGTACTGCCCGGAGGAAAAGAGCAGGGAGGTATGACTGAACACGGGCCCTGTGTAAGGGTACTAATCAATATTTTTTGCATACAACAAGCCTAGAAATTTCCAATTCTCATTCCCTATATCTGCACTACACTTCTTATTTTCATATCCATTCTCTCTCAATCCTTCCAACAACTCCAGGAGACAGGCCACACCCATCTTCATTTACAGATGAGGTCACTGAAGGTCAAAACTGATAAGTGATATTTAACAGACGGTCCACGCAGAACTGAGACCCAGACCCAGAGTTGCTGATTCCATGCCCAGTGACCCCATGTTGTCCCAGGCAAAGCTAATAGAGACTGTAGACATTTCTTTCCTAGGACCCCAGAGGTATTGAAGGGCATATTTCATGCTTCACTCCATCCCAAGAGGACAGACAGGCTACCTGGAGTGCTATGTATTTCCAAGAGCACTGGATGTCTTCTGAAGTCACTGAGAAGGCAGCAAAGGGGGCTACATTGCACCCCAGGACCCTGGCAGCTCTAGGAGATATGGGATGGTGTTTTCCAACTAAACGGATCAGGGGTGAAACTTACCCCAGGGTGCCAGCTGTGAGGAACACTACCCACAGGTGTCCCAGGCTCAAGGTGAACGTGTACACCACCATGCCCACCAGAGTCATGATGTACACCACCAGGGTTGTCTCCCTTTGAACAGAAGCAAAGAACCGAGTCACATACTTCCAGCTTTAGCAGGATTGATCATTCCACGAGTATCTGTTGGGTACCTCTGCTGTACGTCAAGCTCTCTGCTGTGATCCGGGACAACTACTTTCATAAAACTTTCTGTCCATGAAGACAATGAGCAGGGAATCAAACATCACATAAGTAATCATTTAATCACATCACGGTCGATGCTACAAAGGGTAAAACCAGGCAAGTATGAAGCCGCCGAGCTGTAGGCTGCTCTCTTCCCACAGAAGGCTCTCAGCAAGCTGTTCCTCAGCTTGTCATTTCCTACTCTGAGGCAGCAAGAGCACAGCCCTTTTCTTCACTACTTCTCACCAGAAAAAGAAAAAGAAAGAAAGAGACATGCAGCAAATACCAGCCACAGTCACGTGACAGTGATCCCCAGGACCATCCCCAAAATTGCTTTTTAGCTTTACCCCAAGACCCCCATGGCAACGCTGGGCAGTGATCTGACTTTCAGACCCTCTGTCATCAGTAAGTTCTTCCTGTTGCCACTGACACAGCCCCGCAGTTCAATCTGAATTACTCTGTTGTAGACAGTGGAATTCAGAGAGAACATTCTCCCTCGCCCATCCCGTTACCTTTTCCTTTATAGATCCCCTCAGAAAACACCCCCAGCAAGACCTGGTTCAGCCCTGATGTGCCCCTTCATGCCCTTCTCTCTCTGCGTCCATCACCCAGGACTGTGCTGTGACAGACCCTTCCAGGAGACCCCACTCCTCTCCCTGTACTGCTTCCTGCAGGGCTCAAGCTCCACACCATTTCTGACTTCGTGCCAGGAACATCAGAGCCCAGAGGATGAGCACTTACAGTCTTCACATGTTTCTCCTGGCGTCAGAGTCATGTTGGGGCACCAGCAGGCATTTTATGGAATGTCGAACTAATACCTACATTTATTGGGTATCGGATTCTGCAAAACACTTTCCATATGTGTACAATTTCAACTCAGCCCTTACAAAAATCCTGCATGAAATGTATGACAATCCCTCATTGTACCAAGGGGGAAAGAGATCACTCAAGTTACTTGTCCAAAGCATGGGTTGAGTAAATGCAGAACTGGGATTTGAACTCAAAGCTGGGTTTTAAATGTCAGCACTTTCTACTGCCACTAGCAGGAGTAACAATCTACTATGTAGTTGCATCTTTGGAAAAGATGGAGGCCAGAGCCTCCAAAGGATGCCACTTCAGCCTGGTGCTTCAAGGCACCCGCTGAGGTCAAGGAGCCTCGTCCTCCCTTCACCCTGCTCCCCTTCTTCTGAGCCTACCCACTCTGCAGAAAGCAGCTTCATGGATACCACTCTTTCTCCATGACTCCACAAATTCTCCAGATACCCAACTTTTTATTTGTTTGTTTCTTGTTGGGCTATGTTTGTTCAATCACAGATTCATCTTAAACCACTGACCAGTTTAGAAAGATTATTTGTAGGCACAGCCTGAGATAAATGGGCCTCACTACCCAATGTCCAGCCTCCAAACCAAAGTGGAACCTTTGAGAGAAGAAAACTGGCACCGAAATGACAGGGACACAGAGTCCCTCAGCCACCAAGAGCTGTTTTTTCTCTGCCTGGGTAGTAAAAGAGGGCAAAGAAGGTCTCGGGATGACCGCTGGATTTAGACATCAAATGACACTTGGAGCTGGCAATGACTAATTTCCAAAGAAGGTTGAGAAAGTGTCCCTCCTCCCCAGGCCTTTCATCATACTGTCTGATTCATCCAAATCCTCTGGCTGCCCACACCCCAGACCCAGCAGCATTCCATTCCACTCCCACTGCTCCTGCTACAGAGCAAGTCCTGGAAGAAGGGACACTGCTGTTCTCTGGCTTGGGGATGGCCTGTCCTCTCCACTCTTGCTCCTAGAAGAATCAAGCAACTAACAGATGGCAGAGACGAGACGGCAGCCAAGTTCCACCAGCGGTAATTAAGCAGAGCCAGGCTCCTCGTCAGGGTGAGCCAGGCAGCCACATCCCCAGGACTGACCTCAATTGGCCTTTGACTAGGGCAGCCAGAGCGGGACCTGGTCTGACCAGAGCCTCACAGAAGCTGGTTTGTAGGGCAGAAAACAGGTCTGCCACTGTCTGTCGCCTCCAGACCCTGGAAACTTGGAGGATTTGAGAAAGCTGAATGCCCCACCCTGGCGCAAGACACCCTGGCAGCTGCCCACCAGCAGTGGTTACTGAGCGCCCAATGCATGGGAGCACTGAAAAGCCCCAACAAGATGGGAAGAAGGGGCTGGGGGTATGGCTCGGTGGTAGAGGGCTTGCCTGCCATGCCTGAGGCCCTGGTCCACCCCAGCACAGGAAAAAAAGAAGGAGGAGGAAGAGGAGGAGGAGGAGGAGGAGGAGGAGGAGGAAATCGGGCTGCTGTCTGCTGCCAGGAGTACTTTGTCCCATTAAACTGGGACACCCAGCTTGCTTCTGCTTTTTATAAATGCAGGTTCCTCTACTGTAAGGCATCCACAGGGTGGGGCCAGGAATCTGCAAGGCACAATTTAAGCCTTTAAGGACAGCTCTGGGCTCTCAGAAAGACACTAGACATTCAGGTCCAAAGCACCTCAGGACATTTACTGGCAAGGTATGAACAACTGCAAACTGGAGTGCACACAGAGCACCTTGGTGAACCTCCCAGGATCCATAAAGAGCTGAGTTGTGGGAACATGGTGGTGAAATCATCTCTTTCTCTCCACTCTTTGGAGTATCCATAAACTTTCCAACTGCTGAGATTTTTTTTCCTATACATTTTCATTTGTCCTTTATCTGCCCCTTCCACGGAGTTATGTGGGGATCAGAGGTGGCGGCTAGCCTTCCTGTCTGCCCTCTCTAACCCTTCTGGGATACCCCCAGGGTGGATATGGTAGCCCTCACTTTGTAAATGAGTAAACTAAAGCTCAGAGAAGATGCGTTTCAACTGTCTGCTGGACCCCCTCAGACTCCCAGCTGCCACACCCAAACTTTCTATTGCCAATGAAGGTGGTCTTTTCAAAAGATGGGTCCCCAATGTTCAGGCTAAGAGGAAAAGTCACTTACTTGTAGGTTTTGGACTTATCCAGCCAAATGCCTGAGATCACAGCCCCCAGCATCCCTGCAATGACAATGGTCAGGCCGATTCTTCCAGCATTCACTTCTTCTCCCTGGGGAAACCCCAAAGATCACCCAGTGATAGGGCAAGACACAAGATACATGATAATGTGCAGTCAGTATGGAACAAGAGGGTGAAGTCAAGCAATTCAGGCTCTGGTCCAGCCAATAATCATAAAGTATTAGGTCAAAATACCTTGTAAGAAGATGATCTGGGAGAAGAATTCTAGAATAGTTGTTCTTCCTAACAATATAACCCCGGCTATTATAGTGGATGCTGGGCATGGTGGTATATGCTGGTAATCCCAGCAACTTGGGAGACTGAGGCAGAAGGATAGCAAGATTGAGCCTGCCTTAGCAACTTAGTGAGAACCGAAGGAATTAACAAGACCCCACCTCAAAATAATAAATTCAAAAAGGACTGAGGATGTAGTTCAGTGGTAGAGAACTTGTCTTGCATAAACAAAGCACAGGGTTCAATCCCCAGTACCAACCACACACACACACACACACACACACACACACACACACACAAAGAGAGGGAAGATTGAACTTGAACCTTGGTGTCCCTAACTCTGGGACACTCAGTATCTCTTTCCCAACAACTAGCCCTCACTGTTTCTGGAAGCATTTAAAAAATAATTTCAGTTGAGCAACTAAGAGCTTAAAATTAAACCTTGCCCATATATTACAAATTAAATATTTTATGTGCATGTGTGTATTTTTACTGTGTTGCCAGGTGACATGTATAGACTTTACATATATTATATGTAACAAATATGATATGAATATATATATATACATATATGTTCATACACAAATATTATTACTCTCTAATCCTAAAACAAATCTTACAAGAATTATGCTTCTTTTGCAGAAAAAAGAGAGTTCAATGATGCTAACTAGCTAGTCACACCATCACATATCTTAGAACTTCCAAAGCCAGGGTATCTCTTCAAATCCCATTAGCAGACCCCATACCGGGCTGCCTAGAGCCAAGAGTTAAGCACTGCCCCAGCCTCTGCAGGGACAGACTTGGAAATCCTACCATCCCCAGGCCCAACATGCTCAGGAAGGTGCCTCACCGGGTAGTGCAGGATCACCATGCGATTCAGCAGCGTGGACAAGGCATAGAAAGCACCAGCATTCAGACCTGAAGGAGGAAGAGAGAAACACAGCATCAGAGCCAGCCATTGCTAACTTCTCACTGCCAACCATTAGGGAGGTCGCAAATCCTCCTCCCCATGGCCACTGTGATTGGTGACCAGAGAAGAAAAATTCAGGGCGGGTATGAGGCTACTCTGCAGTTTTTCTCAAATGCTTCGAATACAACAAAAGTCACAACTGCAAACTTCCCTCGGCCACATGCCTTTTCCTTCTCCCCCTTTGATTTACCCCAAAGCGCAGGCTTTGTACACAATGACTCCCGTGTATTCCTCTCTTAAGCTTTGGCCAGCCCTGTGCAGTCAGCAGGACTAGTGGACCCCCCTTCTACCTCCTCCCAGTGACTCTTTCTCCTCTCCACATCGCCCCAGACCTCGCCCTCCTGAAACCTCCTCTGTAGGTGGCTTCTCTCCTCTTTCTCCATTCCTTCTCCAATTTCTTCTCTGATTCAATGTTACACAAGATCTACTATGTGGCTGGGTGCAGTAGTGCACACCTGTAATCCCAGCAGCTGGGGATTTTGAGGCAGGAAGATCATGAGTTCAAAGTTAGCCTCAGCAACTTGGCAAGGCCYTAAACAACTTAGCGAGACCCTGTCTCTAAATAAAATATAAAAAGGGCTGGGGAAGTGGCTCAGTGGTTGAGTGCCTCTGGGTTCAATCCCGAGTACCAAACAAATAAAGAAAAAAAACAAAGTCTACTATGTGAAACCAGAGGATACCCTACAGAGCACTGAGTTGTCATCCTACTTTATCAATTTGTTCCATAAATAAATAGAACACCTGTCATACACTGTAAGAACCTATATTCTCAGAGAATGAGGTTATCTGACCAAAGCCACATAACGAGCCATAGCTACCATGAGACTGGAACCTTCCTTCAGTGATGGTGGTGGTGACAAGGATGGATGGTGGCAGCAGCACTTCCTTGTATACTAGACACTGCACTAAGCACCTCACAATCCTTACAACCACCCTAGAAAATGGGGAGTATTACCACCCCCATTCTGTAGATGAGGAAAATGCCCAGAGTTAAAAAAAAACAAACCCAATCACTCCATAATGGCCACCAGGGGTCTTTTTAGCTTTAACAAAACACTGAGGCTCGCAGGACAACCAATTGAATGTCAGCACACTTGACATTCAATTCACATAGAAGGGTGTAATACAGGACACATAGCTTGTAGGCAAGGCAGCCTCCGGAGTTCCTCTTTGGTAGAACCAGCCACAGAGCCCAGTGCCCGCAGGCATCCAGAAGCTATTCTCTTTGGCCCTCCAGGTCTTGGCTAAGGTGTAAGGAAAGGTGCGTAGGCCAACCTAGTTTACACAGGAGACACTGTTGCTTAACTCCACAAGCATAACGTCCAGGGTCCCCCTAAGGGACAGGCTAGTGGAAAGAGTCACTGTTCACAGGGAAGTTCAAAACATGGCCTCCTACCAGATATGACAAAGTCTCCCTGTCCACTGTAACCACAAGAGATCATTTCCCCACATTTTTATTTCCCACTATTTTATGTTATACCTAATGGTGGGATTTGTTGTCACATATTGGTCCATGCACACAATGTAACAATATAACAATATAATTTGGCCAAATCACTCCCTAGGACTTCCCCTCTCCGTCTTCTCTCCTACCTCCTGGTCTCTTTCCTGTTCACTAGTTATCTCCCTTTGATTTTCCTGAGATGCTTCTGCTTTCTTTTCCTTTTTCCTCTTTAGCTTTCACATATAAGAGAAAACATATGACCCTTGAGTTTGTGAGTTTGGCTTATTTTGCTTAACATAGTGTTCTCAAGTTTCATCCATTTTCCTATAAAGGATATAATTTCATTTTCCTTTATGGCTGAATACAACTTCATTGTGTATATATATATATATATATATATATATATATATATATATATATCACATTTTCTTAATCCACTCATCTGTTGATGGACACCTAGACTGGTTCCATAGTTTGCTATTGTGAATTGAGCTGCTATAAACATGAACATGCATGTATCACTGCAGTATGCAGAGTTTAATTCTTCATGATAAATACGGAGGAGTGGGATAGCTGGGTTATATGGTGGTTCCAGGCCGAGTCTTTTGAGGAACCTCCATACTGATTTCCATAGTTGTAGTACTGATTTACAATCCCACCAATAGTGCAAAAAGTGTTCCTTGTTCTCTACATGCACAAGAGATCATTTTTATCATAAGCAATGTTGCCTAAATGTAGCTGATATATTCTCTATATCAGATTCCCAGGGAACAGTTACAGAGTTAAGTGAAGGTCAAATTTCCATGCAAATTGTATAGAAATTTGCTTTCGCATTGCCACAATCACACAGGTATTATGTGGTGGGGATGGATATGAACCCACACCCTCTGACTCTAGAGTCTTTGATCTTAATCATTCTACATCCTCTCAAAACTGATTTTCAAAACAAATATTTCCCCAAGGCAGTCACTGAATAATTTCCTCCTGTCCCAGCCTCTCCCAGCAGGTCACCCACCAATCCAACAAGGTTGGGCTCAATGCAGCCTCCTGAACAACACAGTGCTGCAGTGGGCCAACAAACCCAGACGTGTCATCCAATGTCACTGTGTCTGTCAGGCTGATTGGCAGTCAGGGTAAGTGAGGCTCTCAGCAACAGCTTGCTTGCTTTTTTTTTTTTTTTTTTTTTTTTGGTACCAGGGATTGAACTCAGGGGCACTCGACCACTGAGCCCCATCCTCAGCCCTATTCTGTATTTTATTTAGAGACAGGGTCTCACTGAGTTGCTTAGGGCCTCACTTTTTGCTGAGGCTGGCTTTGAACTCTCAACCCTTCCTGCCTCTGCCTCCCGAGTTGCTGGGATGACAGGCACGCACGGCACCGCGCCCGGCCTCAGCAACATCTCTCTAGCTTGCATCTCCAGCTGACCTTCATATCACACACCCAGCCACTTAGAATTCCATCTCTGAGTCAAGAGGGCCCAAGGGGAAACACACTCCCCAAAAGTGGTGTGGGTTGGAATGTGGGAAAGGGAAGGGGGAAAACAGTCTCCTGCCCTGTTCTTGCCCTTCCTACTCCTCCCTTAGCTGCTTGTCCTTGCCTGACCCTGGCAGGGATATTCCAAGTGAGCCTCAGTTTCAGGTGAAGAGCTCTGGACTTGAAGCCCCAGCTGGGAAGAACAAGGAGGGCAGCATCCACAGGAAGCCGAGGGAAGGAAGTTATCCAGGAAAACTGAAACAAATAGACACACAAATACACCAACACTTTCATGACCTTGAGAAAGAGTGAGGGAACAGAATCCTGAGCCCGCTGACCAACACTAGGAAAGCTGAGCGGTTTGACTGGTTTAGTGAAATAGTTCCCTAAGCAGGGCCTGTGGTCTATCAGCACCCTGAAGAGCTGCCAATCTTTCCTGTTGTCTCTGTGTCCCGCCCTAGAGGAGTTAGAAGTGCAGTATGTTTTCCCACTCAATCTTTAGTCTAGATGTCCCTCCCCATATTGCCAAGGATGGCTAGACGTGGTTAAACAGCAGAGGTCCACTCCACACCCCATTCAAGGGGTTGGGCATGCCCCCAGGAAGAGCAGAAAGAACAGGAAGGACACACGCACTCTGCTAGGCAGGCACACCTGTTCCAGGAGTACAGGGGACAGGAGTGAAGGTGCCTGAGATTCAGGTCTCACTACGCAAAGTGAGCCTGCTGGGTCAGGGCAGAGAAAGCGTCATCTCCCCTGAGAGGCCTGGCCGCTTCTGCTGTCAGTCACTCCAAGTGCCTGCGTTGAGGAGAAGGTTTTCAGGAGGCAAAAATGACTGTCGTCACCCTGCATCTCTTTGTCAAGACCGGTTTTTGTTTTTCTTTTCTTTCTTCTTATTTTTTTTTTTAATTTTTATTTTAACTATTCCAGAGACCACTGGCCTTGGAATTCCTTGAACTTCAAAAATGCAGAATTTTGGTCCCCACTCTAGACCTCCTGGATCAGAATCTCCTCGAATGGAGTTTAGGACTCTGTGTGTCAATAACAACCACAAAAGAAAAAAAGAAAGAGAGGAAAAAATAAGAAAGAAAAAAAAGACAGGTATTTCTTGAAGTCCCTGGAGTGTGGGCATAAGTGGCCTCACCAATATGGAAGATCAAAGACCAGGCCCGGCTCCCAGGTGGTGGTTAACATGGAGGCACCTGGGAGGGAAAGGGCTTCAAGACCATGAGCCTCGCCTCAAGCAGCTACTTCAGGGGCTCCCCACTCCACTGCAAGACAGCATTTCCTGCCTGGAATGCTTATAATAAGCATACTCCCAACTGCACTTTGAATCTGAATTTCCAGAAGAAAAGCAGGGGGGTACTATGCACACATTCAGTCAAGCACCCCAGGGGAGTCCATCCTCAGGGAAGCTCAATGTATTAGACAGCTTTGCTTCACTGTGACAAACTACCTGAGATCATCACCTTTTAAGAAGGAAAAAAATTGGGGGCTCATGGTTTCAGAAGTTTCAGCCTGTGGTCTATTGGCTTGTGATGTGGGGGCCTGTGGTGAGACAGTACATCATGGCTGGGAGCAGCTGGTGATATAAAACAGCTCACTTCACAGCAGCCAAGAAGTGAAAGAGAGACAGGAAGGAACCAGGACCCCAAGGTCCCCATCAAGGGCATACCCCCAAGGACCTAACTTCCTCTTACTGGGCTCTACCTACTAAAGGTTCCAGCACCTCCCTGTGGAGCTACAGGCTGGCAATCAAGCCTTCAACACGTGGACCTCTGGTGGACCTCCAGATCCAAACTACAGCACTCGGAAAACATTAATCCCAGATCCTCTGAGTTCTGTTTCCTTTTTGTTCTTCCTCAGCCGGTGGTAAACACTAGTTTTAAAAAAGGCCACCTCAACCTCAGCAAAGCTCCAGGGAATCTCAACAAGGATTTTATACCTGCTTCTTTGCTGTTTTTGTTTCTTGAGAAACAAAAACATGCTGGCCTCCAATTCACAATCCTTCTGCCTCAGCCTCTCAAGTATCTG